AATCTTCCCCATATCCTAAGGTTCTACAGTAGGGGTCTTCAAACTTGGCTCTTTTATGACTTGTGGACTTCAACTCCCAGAAATCCTCAGCCAGGCACGCTGGTTGAGGAATTCTGGGACTTGAAGTCCACAAGTCATAAAAACGCCAAGTTTGAAGACCCCTGTTCTACAGAATGAAAAACATCAGCAAAAGTAGCACATTTGATATTAAGTTCCAAAGAAATAGAGCAAAGATCATAGTAAAAGATTGACTGTTTAAATCTTCCTGAAAATTAATTCTTGATTTGTTCAGATTTGGGATCAAATTATAGAGCATATATTAAACAAATATTTGCATTTTAAAAATGCGAACAGCTGATAATTATAGAAATTACACCAGGTAAAAACAGCAGGTAAAAACATTTCTTCCCTGCTTGCCAATGTTGTGTAATTGTTCTGTCCTCTTATTTGTATTGGAAGAAATGAAAATTTACACTTGCATGCTCAACCAGTACCCTTGGATATTGATTTCTGAAGAAAAGGGGGAGTTTTTATAATCATGAAGTTATTAGAATGCATTATAAGTATTTGGCTGGCTGTTTTGTACTGGAAATAGAGTTTTAGATTACAATCCTACATATTTTTTATGGAACTAAGCATTTCCCTATTTATCTATATTTACTTCTGAGTAAGCCTTTATATAATTTTATATAACTGTAGTGTTGGTTTGATCGGGCCCATTCTTTCTTGTATTCAGTAAATTGACAGTTTTACAGTATAACGTGTCCAGCTCAGAGATTCTACCTGCAATTATAAAACTCCCTTTCATCAGAGATTATCTGGCACTTACAGTGACTTATCAGTTTCAATTTAAAATCTAGTCAGACAAATGTTTAGATTTTACTAAGCCCCCCGTTATGTTTCAGGGTTTTGTTTTGTTTCACTTTATTGCTTTTGTGGCTGCTACTGTATTCTATGCTTGATTTGAATAAAAAAAGCTTTTAAAAAGCTTCTTAAAAATATCATTGAATCATAATTCTCAGAATCAATTCACGTGTATGACTTCATAAAAATGTGACTTTGATGACAAATTATGCTCTGCCCATTCAATGCCCTACCTGAAACACTGCAATTTTTCTAACTGGATGTGATTTTTTAAAATGCATATATGATCCATCTGTGTAACATTTCAAGCAAGTTTCTAACTTTTTCCACTTCCAAGAGATAAAGAGTTTTTGCATTAAAAATGTGTAATATCTTCAGTGCTTTAGAGATCTGGTAGGGGAACAGTAATGGTTGGATAGCGATTTATTTTGTTTTCTGCCACACAAATCAGTCATTATTTTCCCTTGCAGTTCATTTACTGTAGTTTATTTTCTTCATTCTTGCTGCCTAGCAGCAGCCAGGCAGTAGAATATAAATGTAATGTTTGTATCCATCATATAAAATCTAAACTAGATGTTTAGAAAGGAACCAGCCTCCCTGCTGTATTAATATCCACCCATGTGTTACATAACCGTCATTACCATAGTAACTAGCATTTCACAACTATTAAGGCTTTTTATCCTAAAAAAACCCCTTTTATCTAGGTTGGGAAGGCTGAACCTCCACAGCAAAGCTGTGAAAAAGCAATGTAGCAAGCCTCAAGATCCATCAGTGCTTTTGGAACTAATCTGAGCAATCCTCAAACAGAACACAGAATGACCATTGCGCCATACTTTGTCCTCCTAAGGAACCTGTGAAGAAGACTGAGCAGAATGAAACTCAAGAGTAGGAAGCAGCAAAGCAGTCAAGTTGAAGGAAAGTGGAGAACCAAGGAATTATGCTCTCTGCATTTAGACTTTTTTTCTCTTAAATGCTGAGATAATAGTAGCGACAGGGCATTTTGATTACTAGAACAATTTGGTATAAAGAACTGAAAAATTTATTATTTTGTAACTTTGTTCTTCTTTACCACTATGATTCCCCCCTTCCCCCGCGCACGAGAATTTTCAAGCTTGTAAATACCAAAGGAATTAAGAAGTGAGTGCAGAGAATGTGGTTATCATGAGGTCTTATGCCACTTCTGGATTGTGGCAGAGAAATTAAGAAAGAAACACAACCTCCAATCCAGTTTTCTGATCATAGGCACCTCAATGTTTTTGGTGGAATTTTATCATGCTGGCAGAATACCTAGCACATTCCGTCTTTTGTGCATTACCTGTTTGGATATGTGACATTATTCAGTGCTTTCCCATTCTCACTAAGCCAACGATTTGCTAATGCTTGTTGGATGTTTGGTCTCTTTGCAGGATCCGGTTCTAGCAGAATTTTTAAGAAGTTTACAGCTGCTGCAAAGACATTGAAAACAAAGGGAGGGAGAGGAAGAGTTATTTTCTTTGTGGCTATATTTATTCTTTTGAAGTCAAATAAGTTATTAAGGTATTTTAGAATTACAGTTTTTTCTCTCAAAATCTGAAATACAATATCCTTGCTGCATTTACACATTGCTTTTATACATTAAAAGAGTAAGCTGGTAAGCTAAGGAAGTCCCTTATACAGTAGTGAAAAAGATGACTTCACTAGCTAAGAAAATACTCTACCCCCCCCCCCCAAATAAGATAGATAAATTCAATCTTGATAAACAGTTGTATTTTAAATAACAATTTTGACCATCCTTGAATTATAAATTGCAATGGCTATATTCCAGACTGCATTACACAATGATTCTCATATTCAAGGTTTCTTGAATACTTCAAAGTGGCTAAGTTTACACCCAATTTTAATTCATGGTTCATAAAAAGATGATGCTAGATTGTGTGTGTAAATATTTGTATGTTTTCTTCAGTTTTTTCCTTCTTTTATAAATTCGTGTATATGAATTTTCCATATTGTCAGGAAATTAATAACTTTGATTTATTTAATTTATTTATTTTTACTGCTGTTTTTAGCTCTATCATCTTTCCTTTGGAATCTCAAAACACCACTCAAAGCAGCATATATAACCTTCCCTCCCCTTGAGATAGGTTGGGCATTTTTTTTCCAAAGTACCCAATGAGCTTCCACAGCTAAGGGTGGATTTAAACTTGGGTCTCCCAGGTTCTACTCCGTCACCTTAAACATACTTCCACATTAGCTCCTTTAAAAGAAATAAATTTGTGTTATTTTATTGTTTTTGAAAAGTTAAACTCTACGGTACTCTTTCTGATGATTTAGAAAACCAGAACAGCAGTCTTGAAAGGACTTTGTATCTCTTCAACTTTTTAAAAAAAATCTATTCAGTATCTACCGAGTAGAACAAATTCTAAGATTTTTATTTTTAATTTCAGGGAGATAAATTTGTTGTCTGCACAATCCTAATCATTTAAATGGATAGTCGGCAATAAATTAATGAGGCACTTGCAATTATGCGAGTGGCCCACCTGGTCCATTAACTGATGACTAGAGAAAACATCTGAACTCTGTGCCAAAATAATACTGGATAAGCTTCAGGGTAAATGCTTGGAAAACATTCTTACAATATTCTGCTCTTAAGAATACCAGCCCAACTAAAAGGAACAGCACTGTATCTATTTCTGCATTTCACATGTCTGAATAAGGTGGAATAATCTGCAGAATTTGTGTACTCTATCTGTAACAAAAAGACATCAAATTTATCTTTAAAAGGATATCATTCATAGGCAGATTGCCACCCATCCTTTCACAACTGTACAAAGGGATTCGCTTAATCACTATCCTAGCAAACAATGATGTCAAAGGTTTTCCACATGAAATCAGGAAAAGGAAATATGTGCTCATGTTCCACAATAGATCAAGGACAAGGAAGAGAAAGGATTCTGTCCAATAAATCAGGATTAGATACTATCTAGGCAATATTACATCTGTTTTGAACATCCTGTGGGAATCATTATTTCTGCTGACCTGGATATTATCCAGTTTATGTCACATATGATGCAAAGGGATATTTACATAAAGAATTTGCAAATAATCATTTTTTTATTTTGTGTGTATTTGGTGTATGGGAATTTTAACAATTCTTCTGATGCTTTTCCACCAATAAAACATCAGAGCTTTTAAACCAGAATCCACAACAGCACTTTATTCCCCACACCAACATTATGATACTAGAAAGTTAAGCAATAGCTATCCATTTCAAGTGGCACAGATGGTAGCTTGAACACAGCTACAATCTCAGGAGAATCAAGTGGGGCAGTCTGTAATCAAGCGACCTGCAGCTTACAGGCCTTATAAACCACCAAGTCATGTTAGTCAACACTGAGCAACTTTCTAACACAGGGGTGTCAAACTGCCAGCCTGCGGGCCGGATGCGTCATGGCGAAACTGCACCCACCCCATTGCTAGCAATGGGAAAAAAGTTGCGATATATCGCGACACGTCACACCCCTGTTCTAACATATAGCAACTAAAACACTTACAAATGTACCTTTATAATCCATGACTAAGTTGGTGACACAGGAAGAATAGAATCAGTCATAAATTGGACATTAAGCAGAAAAGAAGAACAGCCTGTTAACAATAATGTTTTTCCCTCTTCATCCTCGTCCTTTTCTCAGAAACTAAATATCTCATACCATATAAAAGTTATTCCTTCAACTAAACCTTGAATATCATGTCACTGCCTAATTTCCCCCCCATCCTCTTCTACCCTTTTTTTCTCAAACTATAGGACTATGTATTTCCTCACTAATGATTTATAGTGTCTTTTAGTATCACCCAGCCATTGTTGTGACTATAAATCTTATCTTAATTACTGTTATATCAAGCCAGTGATAGTTGGATGAATCCTAAGATGCTAAAAAAACACTGGAGGGAAATTGGACTAATTTTAATACTGGTCTAACTTGTTAATACCCCTTCTATTTCTATCTAATTTTCTCAAAGATGCATTACAATTCTGTTAAATGATGTACAAACATTTGTTATATATAAATAATCAACACTTGCAAATGCCAACAATTAAGTAAGCTGTGAAACAGACTTATGAGCCATATACACTAACATGCTACTGTTCCTTTTTAATACAGTACAAGTAGCTAATTTGTAAGAATACATCTATGGTAGATACCTCTTCAATTGTAACAATGTCAAACAGCAAAGGACAGTCCAAAATAAGTTGGAAATACAGCAAAACTAAACTCCGGTGGCCTATCAAACAATCTTTTAGACCCATTTCCAATCCTTCATTTTCCTTTTGTAGATGAGAGACATCTGAAGCCCCACAGTCATAAAACAAGAAATAAATATTTGAACAGGAAAATGTTTGAGATTACAGCCAAAGTTCTCAAAATTAGAATCCAGCCAATTGAAAATAACTAACAGAACGGTTATATATTTTAGAATAACTTTTAAGGTGGTAATTTTAGACTCTCTTACCTAAGAATAAATCCACTTAATACAATAAGACCTACTACTGTGAAACATATATATCAATTAACTGTAACATAACCAACTAAAATGTTATTAATTTGACTTTGTTGTTTCTGCATTCTATGTCTCTTAAAAACATATAATACTGGCACATGTTTTCAAATGGCAAATAAAACAGCTTTCAAAAAGTGACTGGTTATCTGAAATTGTTTATTTCACACTAAACATAAGCAGTCCACAACTCATAGACAGCATGAAGCTCCTCGGTCCCCATATGGTCCCTTGAATACTTTAAAATCATACTGGTGAGATTTGGTACATGCGGTTTCTAGCCCTTTATAATTGTTCCAACCATCTCACAAATAAGATCCCATGGACATTACATTATAATCACTTAAAGGATAGCTTTAAATTAATATTGATGTGTGCTGTTATACAATGGGGTTTTTTTTGCCTTTGAGTCAGTACTGACCCCTGGCAATTGTTGGAATCAGTTCCTGCAGTTTTAATAGCAAAATTTCAGAAATGTTTTGCCATTGCCTACTTCATAGGGCTGAGAGAGAATATCTGGCCCAAGGGCAACAACCTGGCTTTGCTTTATGCCTAAGGAAGGACTAGAACTCATAATCTCCTGGTTTCTTGCCTGATACTGTAACCATCACACCAAACTGGCTCTCGGTAATGTTATGCAGCATGCCATAAATTTGCTGTCTCTGGAAAACACATAGCTAATATTGTCAGAACTACTGGATATGGACAGAATCACAACAGTTTAAGTAGCACAACACTGAAATAATTTAAATTGCCATGCTAATATTTACAATTTGTTAACTTGTCAAAACTACCTGCTCTTTTAATGCTGGACTTTTTTTTTCATTGGGGGGGNATGCAGCATGCCATAAATTTGCTGTCTCTGGAAAACACATAGCTAATATTGTCAGAACTACTGGATATGGACAGAATCACAACAGTTTAAGTAGCACAACACTGAAATAATTTAAATTGCCATGCTAATATTTACAATTTGTTAACTTGTCAAAACTACCTGCTCTTTTAATGCTGGACTTTTTTTTTCATTGGGGGGGGGTTATGATTTTTTTATATTAAGGGTTATCTTGAACAGTGAAATGGATGCCAAATAAATTAGATAATATTAATTACTTTTCATGTCAATATTGTTCGTATTAAAAAATAACAAATATTCCCCCTCCAAATATTAAACAAGCAAAAATGAAAGTTTCTATTTACTTCTTTTGGCCACAGAAAACATCTAGTACACATGACCATTTGAAACATTGGGTTGGATGAATTACATTAATTTCACACAGGAACAAAACAAGATAAAATTACAGTGAAAATGTAACAGAACAAAATATAAACGATTCATTAAAGAACCAGGTATGCAATTATATAACGCCAAATTGCCCATAATTGCCACTTCAAAAAAGAATTCGCAAACAAATTCTTTCCTTCTCTTTAGATGCAATCTTCCTGGCTCAGGAATTATGGGAATTGAAGTCCACGAGTCATAAAAGAGCCAAGGTTGACTACCCCTGTATCTAACCTGACACTTAAAATAAACATGGGATGGGAAAGGCAGCATTTTGTATCTAAAGTCAACAAAGGAATTGCGCAGGATTTCAGTAGGATTTGGCTGACAGTTTCAGTATGATGGGGGTTTGCACATAAGATGACTGTGAACTGGAAGTATGAATATAAATCAGCTAGTCTCTGTGAAATCTTTTGAACAAAATAATCAAGAAAAACTGTTGGAAAGAAACAGTGACAGTTTGAAGGGAGAGTCTTTGTTCTCCTTAGTTAAATATTCAGCTGTTTAAATATTTAGTAATGTGGAAACTGAATTTAATCGCAGATATATTTCTTCTATTTATTATTTTTAAAGGTATATGAAAACTAAAGAAAGAAAATTTCTACAAAGCTTGGTTTACCACAGAAAAAGCCCAAAATAATATTTTCATACCTCTACGATGCTTTGGGATAAATTATGTTTAGATATAAAGCTGGAACAAATCCCATTGAGATCAATAGAATTTACTCTGGGGCAGCCTGTTCTTTAATATACTAATAAAAAAAATACCTGCTCACTTGCACTGGAGCAAGTTCTTTAGCCAATTCATTAGCAATTTGTGTAAATTCTTGTAAATCCACAAGAAATTAACACTGTGGCCTACCTTTAATTATGAGCCTAGGTAGTCCTGGTTCAGCAACTATTCAAAATTACAATGGTGCTGAATGAGAAGACTTGTGACTGGTCCTCGTTGTTGTAACTGTGGCAGCATTCATGTGGTCATGATTTAGGTGCTTGGCAACTGGCTTGCAATTATAATATCACAACATTCCACAGTTACATGATCAACATTTGTGACCTTTGATGCAAGTTTCTGATAAACAAAGTCAATGGGGAAACCAGCAGGAGGTCACAAATGGTGATCATGTGATATTGTGCCTAACAACCATGTGGGATTCACCTAAAAATAGCAACTGGGCCTACTATTGTAAGTCATTAGCATAACCATGTGACTATGTGCTTTATGACCACATAGCGATGGAGTTTCCAATCCCGAGTACTGTTATTAACTAAGGACTACCTGTAATAGGAGCTTTAAAAAAATCAACAATACTTAAGTACATTTACCTGTAGAAAGCTGAGTAGGATATGGATTCATTTCTTTGTCTATCATCTTCTGGTACAAAGCTCTCAGACTGAATGGCTCAACAGTAAATGGTAGTGTCCCAGTCAACATTGCATACATATTCACACCACTGCAAAAAAAGAATGGTGGGGGAAAAGAAGGTAAGCAATAAGTTCTACTGGAAATGAAACAAAAGATACAAAGAAGAGATTATATTTAGTGGCAAGCAGCTATCACGTATGGAGTATAAAACAACATGTTAGGACATTCTTGGTGTATTTAACCCACAACAATCTTCTGTGATTGGTAACAACTCTTAAAGTCATCCTAATAGTCATCCTATTAACTGGAAATCAATGCCTGATCCTGAAAACATACAGATGTAAAAGTAGATGTAAAGAGATTTATGATCTCTTCCAATATGAATTATAACATGGCTTTCACCTGGATTGAAAAAAAACGAATCTGCTAGGTGGCTATAGTGCATTCAGAAAATATTCAGACCGCTTTCACTTTTATCAATTTTGTTATCATGCTGCAGCCTGATTCCATAGTTGTTGAAATTCATTTTTTTCTCATTACTCTACACTGTACCCATAACGACAAAATGAAAACATTTTGAAAACAATATGGTGTATATGCAGCCATTGAAACTTCAAAATTGGGTTGTAAGTAGCTCTGGGAGGTAATTTTGAATGGTTATTAAATGACTGGTTGTTAAGCAAGGATCACCTGCACATTTGTAACTGAAGACATTATCTCCGTAATATTAAATCACTTTTCTCTAATTTTCTTTTAACAAATACTTTTTGTGCTTTTGTAACAGTGCCTTGAATATAGAGCTCTGGCTTTTTGATTGGTCAGATATTAGGTAGTGTACATACATTAGGTAAATTAAGATAGGGGTAGAACTTTAATATTAGGGAGAGAGGGGAAATGGCAAGGCCCATAAGTGATAGGATAAGAACGCGGTGCCATATCAGGCATATGTCTAGGTGCCAAAATTCTTTTGTGTTCTTTATTTTTGCTCTGGGTTTTGGAAGGAAGCTTTCTTCTTTGTTTTAAAATTATATTAGGGCTATTTTAGGGCTTACCCTCCAGCTTGTATGTTTTCCGTATCAAAATGGTGGCTCTTGGTAACCGTGGCTGGAGCTCAAGGGCCACAGCAAGGGGAGAGAGGACACCTTGGAGCTTCAGTTTATCTAATTCTGACTTAAGAGATGGATTGCAGAAGTCTATGTTTAGAGGACAGAATAAAACAGCAAAACTATATCAGCGCTAGTGAATACAATCAGATATCCATTTTCAAAGTGGAATATTTTGTAAAAATGTTCAACTTTAAATATAACTTCTTTATTTTTGCCAGTGTAAACGATAAACATGATGTGGAAAGAGAATATGCTGCTTTTAAACTACATTAACTCACATGGACCAAACATCTATTTTGGGACCATATTTCTTCCTAGCAAGAAGTTCTGGTGCTGCATAAGCAGGACTGCCGCATTGGGTGCTGAATGGATCAGTGTAGCCAAGGATACTTGCACAATTGCTCAAACCAAAGTCTGTGAGGAAAAACAAAGAATAGACATTTAAATTCTGCATTGGAAAGACTGTCATCTCTAAATGATTATCATTTATTACCATCATATATTTTTCTTTTTCTAAATCTCGTTTAAGTTAAAGCAGAAACTTTCTTCAACTGGCACCCTGAAGACATAATGGATCACAATTACCATCATTTCTAGCTAGCATGTAGTCCATCTATAGTGCTATCTATAGAGCACCTGGTTGGGTGTAAAGGTAAGTTACAGAGTTGTAATCTGAATGCTGCTTTCTTAAATTATACAAGAAATGGAAATAATGTTCCAAAAGCAGATAAGCATAATTTCCTGAGGAATAATTCTGGTTTTCTTGCATCTGTGAAACAGTAACAGTAATTAAGACCTAACCATATATCAGCAAGCTTTTTACATACTGATCCACCTTGGAAAGGGACAAAGGAGTTATGTACACCAATGGGTATGAATAGTTTAAGATTCTTAAATGGAACCTGATAGGAATTGTATCCATGTGCATATAAAATACTCAGCTGCAAGATATAACACAGACAACAGGGCTAAATATAAAAAAGGCACATTTAATCACAAGCAAGCAGCACTAATAGAAGCTGAGATAGGCAGTATTATTTCTTTTAATGTAAACTGTGATTTACTTGAATATACTCAAGTAAGTAGCCTACACTTTTTAATTAAAATGTTTACAATTATGATTTCAAATCAAAACCTTTCCATTAAAAGGTACTATTACCAAACACCAATATTAATATTTCCTTTGAAAATAACTGTCATCCTCATTTTAAGATTGGTCATTTGTTAACAAAGGATATTAATAGCCTTTGCTCTTGGATACATAATAACCTGCTGCATTTGAGGCTATCAGAGTTGAATAAAACCATATAGAACCAAAATCTCTATCGTACGTTCTTATGTTCTATGGCAGGCATGTCAAACTCGCGATGTCATGTGACATCACGCAACGTATCATGACTTTTTTCCCATTGCCGGCAATGGGGTGGATGCGGTTTCGGCGTGGCATATCCGGCCTGCGGGCCGACAGTTTGACATCCCTGTTCTATGGTATATTCTATGGAAGTGTTTCTCAGCCTTGGGAACTTTCAGATGTGTGGACTTCAACTCCCAAAATTCCCCAGAACACGGTCTAAAATGAAGAAATGTTTAGACAACTAAAGCAAATGTAAAATAGCTATATTCTAGTTTTGTTTTATATATATATTGTTTGGCAGTGACTGCATATAGAAGCCAGCTTTATATGTTCTGGAGTAATCAAACAGCCCATTATAAGAACAAAAGCTACCAGATATTAATACAACTTTAAAATATTTCTGCTCTCACCTAGGCTTTAGTCTAAGTTGTTGGTTGGCTGATGGTAATGTGTATTTTTCAATACACTTGTGAATGCTGTTTCTTACATACAAATGTTATATAGGTCTTTCCCAAATTAGTGCCTTTTCTCAAAGCTGTTTTGTCAACTTTCACCTCATAAGTGCCCTTAAACTGTGTGAGACAAAGCTTTGTTTTACAGATTTTCTGGCCCACTTAAGAGATAGCAATGCCTCTGTTTTTAACTCACATGCCTCTGTTTTATTCACATACACTGTTGCAACAAAATGAGTTGACTTGGCAGAATTAAATCCCTAAGCAGATGCTTTTATAAGGGGAATATTTTCCTTTTAATGCCCACAACTAACACGAATGGGAGTTTTACATGGATAATAATAAAAGACGACTCATTTATGATTTGTGCAGAATGTGTATGATCAATGAAAAAAACACTGCGGTTTTGGAAACAAAGGTACAATCAAGAAACCATTGGGTTTTCTCAAGGTACTTGTTATTGTAATTTTGCAGACAAATGTATTGATTGGACACTAAAGTTTGCCTCACACTATGTGAACAAATATCCCATGTGATTGCAGCATCAAAAAGATCTTCTTAAACTCTAAGTCACTTAAAATAGGAAGCCAAATGGCAAGGGGAAATGTTTATTCTACTTCTCCAAACATTCAGCATGCTTAGACGAAAGGCTTCACAAAATATGTATTTTTAAATTTACTATATTTTCTCTGTGTTTGTGAAGAAACACCTGAATTACAGATATAATCCAACAGTAAAAGTTTAATATTTTTAAAACGCAGGTGTTGTGTTAATTTATGACAAAAATGCTGATTAGTGACTGAAAACTACAATTACTACAAGACTTTCATACCAATAAGCTTGATATTGTTGTCTTCATCTAGCAAAAGGTTTTCTATCTTCAGATCTCTGCAATATATAAAGATATTAAATGAGATTTTAAGCAACTGACTTCAATATTTTCAAATTTCAAAAAAGATATCTGATTACCTTTTTGTACAAATTGGTATAATTCTTGTTTTTATAAAAATATGAAGTAAATACATTTGGGAATATTTTCATAATAATGAATAAATAGATCTGTTATTTTGAAGTTGATGCAAACAGCACTTGCAGCACAATTCATTATGGTATTCTTCCATTTTATTTACTCTATCCTACGCTAATGCCATAAAAACAAGCATGTATTAGTAACAAAAAATGCAATAAGTTTATATCATTTCTATAAAAAATTATAAACAAGCTAATTCAGCTTTAACATAAATCTTCAAAATATCAATCATGAATCAAATATCATTTTATTCTATATCTCTATTAAGAGCTACCAGTGTGAGACCCAAGGTTTTGTGTGGTTCCGCAAGCATTTTTTCTACATCTTCCAGGGCCTCTCGGCCGCCTGCCCTATGTTAGAGGCATATTCCATTAATTTGCATTGCTACCTCCTCACTGTGTCTTTTGTTTTCCATCAAAATGCAACAAAAAGATGGCCAATATCTGCTTTTGCTTAAATACATGAGCTGCTATAATGAAAAGGTGTGAATGAAAAGGTTCAGAAGAAAAGCTAACTTTGGATTTATTTATTTTTTAAAGTCAGTCTTCAAGACCCCTGGCATGAATCCAATTCTAGCAGCTGTATTGCTCTAAAATAAAATTAGCAGTATGATACTTCAAGGAATAAGAAATGCATACCATGAAACAAATCTAAGATGCTTCAAATACCTATACTAAAAGCTGCCATCTTAATTGGTTTTATTATTGTTTAACTGTTTCTATGGAATTTACATTTAGAACATGGTCAATGTATTCAATATGCTTCATTAGAGATTTTACATTTAACACAACTGTCATTGGATGGGATAATTACTTGGATTAGAATAAACAGGAAGTGAAAATATCCTTTTTCTTAGAACAGAACACCAGATAGGTTTTAGGTAAACTGAAAAATGCCTTTTGAAGCTGTATGAATAGAGAGAAAAGCACAAATGCCAGTAGGATTTTTTTTTCTCCCAAGGCAAATAGCAAATATCAAGGAGCAATTATCTCAGGATGGCAGGACAGGAAAGAGATCATTCTCCTTGCTTGTCATAATGAAATAAAATAAAGAAAGTGTTTCTTAGTCTAAATATATTCCTAATATGGTAATATGTTTTAATAACTACCTTTCAACAATCACAAGAACTTTTTTACAGTAAATTGCTTAGCATAGTCAACTGGATGGAACAATTCCAGTAAGTCAGATAGTTCCCAATAAAAATGTATAGCAAACCACGATACATATTTATTACTGAAAATGATAAAGCCCAGGAAATGCTACTGTAGGAAAACCTTACTAAAATAAAGCTCTAGGAACCAGATGCTGCAAGCCACATTAATACCTACTGTTGCCTTTAAACACAATGGAAACAATGCAACATACTTTTTCATATATCACATCCAGAATACATATACCTATGCATTAATTACATTTATGTATCTAAAATAATGTATACCTTAAGAAGTATGTTGAACTACTAAGCATGATAGTATGGTAAAACCTGAATGAAAATAAACTAATGAGGTATAAGACAAATATACTGGAAAGATTGTTGGGGAACCTTTTAACATTTTTGGTACTAAATCAAAGATAGTAGGACAATCTTTCCAATAAAAATTACTTCAGAAAGATGAAAATAATGTATGATAGATTCATATTAAATGTCATTCTATACTGTAGAAATTTCTATAAATGAAGAGTACCTTATCAATAGATAAGCAGAAGTTAAGCTGCTAGTTTCAAAAGTAATTTGATTATTTGTGATCAAACTAATATCAGATTTTAGCAACCACATCAATAAATTTTCTCATTATCTTTCTCTAATCTGGTGCTTCAGGTCTTCCAATGATGCACTCATCACCACTTTAACAGAGTCCCTCCATCTTTCTATTGGTTGTCCTTTTCTTCACTTTTTTCCTCCACTTTTCCTAGCAATAGAGCCCTTCTCCCAGAGAGCTAGGTCTTATTATATGTCAAGTTCAATAATTTCATCCATGATGATCCATTTATGTATTTCTTGGCTATCCACAGTATTCTCAAGAAACTTCAACATCGTAGTTTGAAAGCCTCAATGCTCTATTTATCCCACATCTTCAAAATCACATGGAGACAATAAGATGTTCAGGGATCCCCATATTCTAAGCACATTCCACAGCTTGACATGATTGAAACAATCAATGGAGTTTTTTTACAATCAATGAAGCACAGACTGACTTTTTCTGGGCATTCCTTGGCTTTCCCAATTATCCAGCATACATCAGCAACATCTCATGCTTCTCCATCTCTATGTAGGGAATCACCTGCATTGGATGACTCTAAGTACTATTTCATATGTATGTAAAATTAAAAGATAGTTCTTTCTTTAGTCTCCTTGGTTACACATCAAAATAAATCATAATAAATGTATCATGCTCATCTTTGGGCAGGTGCTCTATGTGCATACAAGTAGTCTTCAATTACTGACTGCAAGTGGGACTGGCAACTCCGTAACTAAGCAATGAAGCTGCAAAATGAAATGTCATGTGATTGTGCTGGCTTACATGTCAGTTTTGATTGTGGTTATTGTCAAGTGAATCACCTGAAGATGTTAAGCGTGATGTCACATGACCACAACCTGTGATCTCCTGCCAGCTTCCCCACTGACTTGGCTTGTCAAAAGTCAGCTGTGAAGTTCAGAAATGATGACCATGAGAAACTGTGATAATAGTAAATGGGCTAAACAGTTGCTGAACGAACAGTCAGTAAATTAGGACCACTTGTACTTACGATGTTACTGCCAGAGATCACTTCATGATCTTCCATATCCAATTCAAGTCTTAACAAGCAAGACTGTTCTCTATTATATATTGTCCTATTTCTCAAAATCTGCTAATTATCTGAATAACTAAGTTTGAGAAGATAATATGCACCCAGCTCCTCAATTAAAGAAACAGTGGAAAACAGATACACAGAAAGTAGTCTTTGCTATTGGAACATTATTAAATTCCTTTCGTTGATGTTTTGACAGTAATTACACTGAGTATCTGTAGTTTTAAAATTACTTTAAAAGTTGTCGAGAATTTCCTATGAGATGCTAAAGCAAAACTTCATTCTAAGTCTCCATCATTCCATAGAAAGGCTAATTCATATTAGTCTGCTTTACATTTAATACTAAACTAGAATTTAATGTTATATGCTATCTAACAGAAACATGGTGAATATACTATGCCATAAACCATTTTCATTATGGCTTACTCTAATTAATAATTCAACTCACTGCACTATAGCTGTGAAATATTAATCCTGACCCTTCTACCTCCAGAAGACTGTGGAACTGAGGTGAAGTTGTCTATTAAACAGTTACAGCTTTCAACTGATAGCTTGCAGACTGAAGTTTCATTTCAGAGACATTGGGAAAAATGGGAGTATTTTTCTATTCATAGACACAACATAGTGGGAAAGAACCAACCCAGAACTAAGGAGAAATTTCCTGACAAAACAATTAATCAGTGAAATGACTTGCTTCCAGACATTGTGGTTGCTCCAACACTGATGATTTTTAAAAAGAGATTGGACAACCATTTGTCTGAAATGGTATAGACTAGAGTTTCCTGCTTGAGAAGAGGGTTGGACTAATAATAATAATAATAATAATGATGATGATGATGATAATAATGATGATGATGATGATGATGATAATGATGATGATAATAATAATAATAATAATAATAATAATAATAATAATAATAATAACAACAATAATAATAATAATAAAGTTGGAAGGGACCTTGGAGATCATCAAGTCCAACCCCCTGCTCAGGCAGGTAACCCTATACCATTTCGGACAAATGGCTGTCCAGTTTCTTCTTAAAAACTTCCAGTGTTGGAGCATTTACCACTTCTGGAGGCAGGTTGTTCCACTGGTTAATTGTTCTGTCAGGAAGTTTCTCCTTAGTTCTAGGTTGCTTCTCTCCTTGATTAGTTTCCACCCGTTGCTTCTTGTCCTGCCTTCAGGTGCTTTGGAGAATAGCTTGACTCCCTCTTCTTTGTGGCAGCCCCTGAGATATTGGAACACTGCTATCATGTCCCCCCTCGTCCTTCTCTTCGTTAAACTAGACATACCCAATTCCAGCAAACGTTCCTTATATGTTTTAGCCTCCAGTCTCCTAATCATCTTTGTTGTTCTTCTCTGTACTCTTTCTAGAGTCTCAATATCTTTTTTACATCGTGGTGACTAAAACTGGATGCAGTATTCCAACTGTGGCCTTACTAAGGCATTGTAAAGTGGTATTAATACTTCACGTGATCTTGATTCTATCCCTCTGTTAATGCAGTCTAGCACTGTGTTGGCTTTTTTGGCAGCTGCAGCACACTGCTGGCTCATATTTAAATGATTGTCCACTAGGACTCCGAGATCCCTCTCACAGTTACTACTATTGAGCAAGGTACCCCCTATACTATATCTGTACATTTGGTTTTTCTTGCCTAAATGTAGAACCTTACTTTTTTCACCATTGAATTTCATTTTGTTAGATAGCGCCCAGTGTTCAGGTCTGTCCAGATCCTCCTGTATCCTAAGCCTGTCTTCTCGAGTGTTGGCTATTCCTGCCAGCTTGGTGTCGTCTGCAAATTTGATGAGTTCCCCATCTATCCCCTCGTCCAAATCGTTGATGAAGATGTTGAAGAGCACTGGGCCCAGAACAGAGCCCTGGGACACCCCACTACACACTTCCCTCCATGTAGATGCGGTTACATTGAGGACCACACGCTGAGTATGGCCGGTCAGCCAGCTACGGATCCATCTGGTGGTGATGCTGTCTAACCCGCATTTTTCTATCTTATCAAGTAGTAGGTTGTGATCTACTTTGTCAAATGCCTTACTGAAGCCCAAGTAAATTATATCCACAGCATTCCTCTGGTCCACTAATTTTGTCACTTGGTCAAAGAATGCAATAAGATTTGTCTGGCATGATCTGTTTTTTACAAACCCGTGTTGGCTTTTAGTAATGACTTGGTTTGCCTGTAGGTGTTCGCTGATTCGTTGTTTGATAATCTTTTCCAGAATCTTCCCAGGTCAGACTGATAGGTCTGTAATTTCCTGGATCCATTTTTTTTCCTTTTTTGAAGATGGGAACTACATCAGCTCCTTTCCAGTCCTCTGGTAGTTCCCCAGTGCTCCAGGATCTTTGAAAAATATAGTTCAGTGGTTCTGAGATCACATCTGCCAGTTCCTTGAGAATCTTGGGGTGTAATCCATCTGGTCCTGGTGATTTGAACTCGTCTAGGCTGGACAAGTGCTCACTTACCATTTTCTTGCCTATTTTAACTTGTGTTTCTATTCTGTTTTTTATGGCACTATTTTTGATAGGTTGGTCTTTTTTCCCCCTTTGTGTAAAGACAGATGCGAAAAACAAGTTAAATAGTTCTGCTTTCTCCCTGTTGCTTGTCACCTTCTTGCCACTTTCACCCACTAATGGACCAATCGTTTCCTTCACTTTTTTCTTGTTTTTTACATGTTGAAAGATGCTTTTTTTGTTATTTTTTACTTTGGTCGCAAGCCTTAGTTCATTTTGAGCCTTGGCTTTCCTCACTTCATCTTTGGGGGCTCGGGCTATTTGCTGATATTCTGACTTAGTTATGTGTCCCTCTTTCCACTTTCTATACTTGTCCTTTTTATTTTTCAATTTATCAGAGAGTTCTTTATGCAGCCATGCTGGTTTCTTTTGAGAGCTGTTATTTTTCCTCTTTGTTGATATTGTGCTAGACTGGGCTTTTATTATCTCACTTTTCAAAATTTCCCAAGCTTCTTGAGTTGTTTTCCCCTGGAGGATTCTCATCCATGGAATCCTTTCCAAACCCTCTCTAAGTTTATTGAAATTAGCTCTCTTGAAGTCCAAGACTCTAGTTTGACTGTGTTCTATTGCTTGTGCTTCCATAATGTTGAATTCCAATATTGCATGATCACTTCCTCCCAAGGTTCCTATGGCTTCAACACCTTTTATCATTTCATCTGTTAGTGAGAATTAGATCCAAAATGGCTAATCCCCTAGTTCCTTGGAGGACTAGAAGACCTCCAAGGTCCCTTCCAACTCTGTTATTTTGTTATTCTGTGGGATCTTGCTGAGAAAGAAAAAAATGAAATCTGCAAATCTTATTGGAATTATTTTCCCCATTTCTAGAATTACGTTCTTTAAAAAACAAACAAACCCTCAAATGAGTATAAGGCATACCAGATTAGATAAACCAGATTAAAAAGAACAAGAATAAAATTTTCTGTGGCAAAAGAAAAAAAATCTCATTTGATTTATAGAAAAATGTATTTATAAATTTTCTCATCTCATTGAGTTTTACCATAGTCACCAATAATAGGAGCTGAAGCAGATAGGGAGAAGAGAGGTTAAAAAATAGCTTTGCTGTGTTGGAATTCTGACAGTTGCAATCCCAATACATATGGAGGACATCAGCACATGGAAGGCTAATAACAAGTGGGGGGGAAATTCTTTTTACCATGGATACGGATGGTAATAGGCATGTATTATTCCAAAAATATGAAACAGGTAATGTTCACCTTACCTGTGAACAACCCCTGCCCGATGTAGATGCTCAACTGCTAATATAAGCTGTCTGATATATTTGCGTGCTTCATGCTCTTCCAACCTCTTCTTCTCATAGATTTTGTGCATTAAGTTGCCTCCTGGGCATAGTTCCATGACAAGGTAGTAACTATTTTCAGTTTCCAAGATATCCAGCAGTTGAGCAATGTTAGGATGACGAATCATTTGCTGGATCTGGCCTTCCCGTCTCAGATTCTTGGTCACATAGGTGTCCTTTTTGGCTCTTTTTTTATCAATAACCTTCACTGCCACCTAGTAAGAAACAAAAAAATGACATTTTTAAAAAAAGTTTTAAATTATGACATTTTCTTCATTCATAATAGAAAAATTCACTTGAAAATGTAATATTTAAATTTATTTTTAAATCTAATGTTCATCCCATCCTCACATTATAAAATTAAACCTCTATGTCAAAAGTACAAGTTTTTAAATGAGTCATTTTGTGTATTTCTAAATACAATCTCCATCTTCTTTTTTCCTTCTTGGAAATTATCCAGAGTTGTATTCAAGTATTACATGAGGGAATCCGTTTATACAAACCTATAGTAATTTGTTTAGACAAAAATAAATTGGTTTACAGAAAATACATTTGCATATGTGTACCAGAAATGGCCATCATTTATATATTATTTAGAAATGATATTACTAGATAAATATGCCTGGGAAGCAGCTAATAATTTATATTATAATAAATGATAATTCCAACAGGCAAGCATCTGCCACATAACACTCCAGACTTAAGAAGTATAGATAAGAAAGGTAAAAAAGTGGATAGTGGATGTTGCACTTCCTGGAGATAGGAGAAGAGAAGAGAAGAGAAGAGAAGAGAAGAGAAGAAAAGAGAAGAGAAGATTGTAAGGTAAGGTAAGGTACGGTAAGAGAAAGAACTGGAGAAAATAAGAAAATAGAAAGACTTGCAAATAGAAAGACTAACACAAAAATACTGCTTAAATCTGTATATACAGCATATTTCATCAATACATTACAACATCCTAGGTTCTAGAGAAGAACTTGATGCATATGAAGGTCAACACCAGCTAAAGAACTGGCAGCTTCGACTTTACAGTGTTGTGAATAGATAACAGCAATCAGTATTGAGAAAATCACCACCAGACAATTACAAAAAACAGCTTTAATTGGAACAGTGGTACCTTTAACTCCATCAAACAACATCTGCCTAACTCAGTTTGCTGGGAAGGACTCAACAAGAGGATAAAAATTCCAAATCCAGTCTAAACTGAATGCAATGAAATTTCATTTTAATGTATGCCGATTAGTGTACATTCAAAGTGACAATAAAAGTGACAATTATTCTATTCTATTCTATTATTCTAAACATTATGCGACCAACCATAATAATCATAATTGTTACATGATTATGTGTGAGAGCCTGTTTGGTGTAACGGTTAAGGCACCAAGCTAGAAACTGGGAGATTGTGAGTTCTAGTCCTGCCTTAAGCACAAAACCAGATGGGTGACCTTGGGCTAGACATTTTCTCTCAGCCCAAGAAAGGAAGCAATGCAAACCACTTCTGAAAAGTCTTGCTGAAAAAACTGCAGGGACTGATCAAAGCAGTCTCCAAGAATTGGCATGACTGAAGGAGAAAATATGCATATTATTATATGTATAATACATACCACAAGCAAGAGCATACCAGCTACTCTTTGGACAAAGGCAGCCTGAAGCCTCTTCAAAACTCATATCAGCTTATTGTAGAGCTGCAATAAACTAATATAACATTGCTAAGACCTCTATCATTATCGCCAGCTTGAATAAGAATGGCACAATTGACATACCAGATTATTCAGTGTAAGGGCACTTACAATGCAGCTGCAGCCACCACTTAAGTATCCAGGTTCAAAGTAGAATAAAAAGCACTCCAAAGCATAAACCTTCTTGGCATAAACTAGTGATAAAGCAACAGGACAGAGGACAGAATTTAATCTCACTTTAAGTTCAATAGCAGTAATCTTATTTACATAAATGAGACCTGGCATGAGGTCCATTACAATCTTTGTATAAATTGCTTCAACCAGTGACTAGCATTCTGATCATTTCCTTTCTAAGAAAGAACTTGCCAAAATAATTAAAGTAATAAAATTAATCTACATTAGAAAGTAATTCTTGTAAACTACTTCTGAGATAAAATATGAGTTGCTAATGTCGGTGCAGTTTGACCTTATCTTCCAACCGGTGTCCTATGGTTTGGAATGAATGATGGATCTCTACAGATCAAGAGTGAAAAATTGTGCGTGGATTAGATGGGGGAGCTGGAGGGGGGGAGAACATTACTGAGAGAGAGGCAACAAGCTGGCCCTCTGCCAAGACCTAAAGAACAGAGCAATACAGTACTGCAATTACCTTAACTTTTAATGAAAAAATCAAAGTAAGGCTCTGTGAGGGAGATGGGCAGCTATAAAAATTTGATAATAAAAATAAATAAATTCAGATAAAAGTTCTTTAACAATGTAATTGTACAACATGTACGGCATGAATATTGTTTCCACAAGCTAATTTTTATGATTTTACAAATGGTTTGAAGGAAAATCAGAACTTCTATGCACGTATTAAACAGAAGATGGATTCAGGTAACTAATTATATTAAACCTCAAGACAGCTATTTAAACATGCAGTAGCTCTATCACATAAAAAGAGTTTAAAGAAGTTCCACATGGTTAATTATCATGTAAATCCATCCTGCCTTAACCAAGTAACTGGCCTTGCATATGCTTTTGAAGTTGAGCATTATACATTTAAGGAGATTATTCTTAAAAGTTTCATCTGCTGAAAGCAAATTGATTTATGCATACTGGAAAGCTGTTCCTTGTTGGCAGAAGGTGGAAGTAGAGTTGCAGAAAGAACCAGAAAGAATACATTGTCTTCCAGTAACAGGAAACACCACAAGAAGAAAAACATATTATTTGAAAAGATTTGTGAATCATTTCATTCCCAAACTTAATAGTCTCAACTTTATTAAATGATTTAGATGCAAATTTAAAAAATTACCCTTTCTAACTTGGTCTCCTCCAGACCCCAAATTCTAAACGCTAAAGTCTCCTAAACAATTGGAAGCAATCTGGGTCCCCAGGTTGAGAGAGATGTTTTACAGATGGTGGGCAAATATGGTCGTTTATAGCTGAATATCTATCAAACAGCAGATCATCTTATTTGCATTAAACAAAGTTTTTAAAAGTTTTTAAAATTATTTTAAGTAAAAGGTGATCTTGGCAATATTTGCCAAGAAACGTGTTTAAATCACATTCAACAATTTCTTTTAACCAGAAATATGGCATGTTGTTCACTGAACATTGTAGTCTTGGAAAATTCTGATTTTTTTGTTTCATTTTTCACAACTAGTTCAGCTACATATTACATTTTTTTATGTGGCATAGCCTATGTTTAGGTAATCAGGCTCTCAAGTTATATACTCTAAATACTGTAACTTATTTTTAAAGGGTCATCTTAGTTTGCTTATGAATATGGTAATAGAAATTGGTGATTGTTTTTTGTCTACTGTTCTTTTACAGGACTGTCTTACATTAAGGATCTATGCTTCTTTCAATTAAATACATCACTTTCCGATCATTTTTCCCTTTACTTTAAACAGAGAACAATCCTTTGAATTAAAATGGCTACAAAATAATATTATTAAGTATCTCAGTTGTAATGAAAGTCAAAGCAAATGTGTTTCAGTAAGGTTAGTTCTGAATGTAGGTTTGTTTTTCCCTCTGTAAGTTTTACAAATGGCACATGGATGGTTTTCTAGATGTCCAATTTAACATCTTTAATGGAGTAGATCTTTCAAACATGTGGTCATGTCTTATTAATATTTTGACCATAACTATCAACTGCTATGTATACATAATGGTTCTTTCTTCTGTATCAAAAGATAGAAATTAAAAGTACTACTTTTGTTAGTAAGGAGGAATGCATACAGCTAATTAATTTTCCTCACCATTTGTAATAAAGTTCAGCAGCAATAGCAATAGCACTTAGATTTATATACCGCTTCACAGTGCTTTATAGCCCTCTCTAAGCAGTTTACAGAGTCAGCCTATTGCCCCCAACAATCTGGGTCCTCATTTTACTGACCTCGGAAGAATGGAAGGCTGAGTCAACCTTGAGCTGTTCAGAATTGAACTCCTGGAGTGAGCAGTGAATTAGCCTGTAGTACTGCATTCTAACCACTGCGCTACCACAGCTCTTCAAGCGGGTAGAATAGATGAAAGCAATCCTGAAGTAAAAGAGCTTGTCTTATTTAGTTCTTGTTCCTTATGCTTTCAGAATTGCCTTTTCCATATATTCATTATGCCTAAATTATTTTCAGTTCCAATAAAAAATTCAAGTCATGGTGTTTAATGTCGCTCTAAGTATGGAATAGCATGAAGCATAACAGAATCTCTCCATGGTATGAAGAAAACTGGTGAGTTTTCCAGAAACATTTTTTCTGAAGAATGGTGCCAAAACATGTCTTATGAATGCTGGGCTCCAAACGTGTAAATCTAAAAACCCATAATCGCCTTTAATCACTGGAACTATCACAAGTAATGCAATGAAAGGAAGAGAACCACACTCCATAGGAAAAAGCAGGTGGCGCGAATGTAGTCTGCATCTGGAAGACAGTTATTGCTTTCCTATTTGTTAAAAGTAGACTTTAAAAAAGCAACATAAACTATTATTCATTTCACTATCTGATTCATCCTTGGGAGTACTTCAACGCTGGCTAGATTAAACAAGACTACTGAAGTATGATTGACAGGGAGCTAAATGGATATGCAGATAGCCCTTGACTTATGACCATCTGTTCAGTGACTGTTCAAATTATGACGGTCCTAAACTAATTGGGGTTACAACTGGTTCTCAGAGTTCTAGTCATCCCAGCATGGTCACATGATTACAATCTGGACAAATGGTAACAGGCTTTATATATTTATAAATTTTATTTATTAAATTTATATGCCGCCCATCTCCCCAATAAGGCGGCTTTGGGCTTGCCCTTATGATTGCTTGTAGTGCCCCAGGATCATGTGATTGCCATTTGCGACCTTCCCTACCAGCTTCCCCAGAAAGTCAATGGGGAATCTGGCAGGGAAAATAGCAAGTTGCTGGAATAAGGCATACCCACCTGCACACCCTCCTCCAGCCCCTGTAGAAAGCCATGAAGTGTGGTAGGGATAGAACAATTTAAAATATACTCAGTCCATACAAATCTTCCAAGAAAACAGATGATTACTTAACAAAGATGGTACAA